CAAAAAGAGTGTCTGCGTCATCTGCAGGTCGTTGCTAAGTACCTGCTTAGCTGCTACGAACCCTAGGCGGAGTCTTGGGGCGGTGGCGGGACTGAAGTGCTAGCTAGTGTACCGCCTCGCCTACGGTGGCTCCGTGAGCTCGTGCGTCTCTGAAAGACTCATGCAGAGAAAGACCATCAATATCCGGGGGTGGACCACCCTCAGGGCGTGCAGGAACGGAGGCGGATGTCACTGAAATGACTGGGGGTCGAGGTGGGGTGCCAAAATCCTCGCCAGGACCGCTGCTGCCTCCGACTAACACAAGCCCCTCGTCAGGAGGGAGGAGAACCAGCCGAGGTTCCTTGATTAGCTGTCGGAGCTGCTCTGGGCGTAGACTGGCTGATGTGGTATCTTTCGCCTTGACTTCTCTCCCTTCCCATTCCTTGAGCCAGTCCCAATGCTGCGGTGCCACTTGCGTAACCTGGATTGATATGCCCGTCTCTTCCAAATACTTGGGCTCAGAGTACATAAACTGACATAAACTCTTGCAACCACGTCTTCGGATACCGTCCTGAAGCGTCCGTAGAGGGCGGTTCGCCCAAACAATGCCACGGAAGACTGACCCGAATCCCCAAAGCAGAAACCTTCACCGCAGCTCGTTCAACGGCTGTCCTCAGCAATACCTTCAACCTCTCCAAGGAAAAGGAACCAGCGTGTTTGGACCCCCGCCCCATAGAAGGGATGAAGTCGCACGAGTACGGGTGCACCAGCTTTTGGGTGAGAAGATCTTTCGGCCTTCGTGGGCCTCTCGTATTCAGACGAAACTGCCTGTACCTGCATCGCAGCAGTGGGGGAGCTTTGCTCCTCAAAATGAACAGTTCGACTGGGTCCATGCTCGGGACGTGTATCCGCGGATTGGCTTCTACGAATAGAGGTGAGGAGGGGCTCCTCAGGTCTTCGTTTCGCTTTCCCATGTGTGGGTGCTGGGCTGTTGGAACGTCCAGTTTCAGCAAGGTGCTTGCTGCACCTTCTTGAAACAGGAAACAACACTACAGTTTCTGCCCTGACAGGAAAGCATATAAAGCTGACTGTGGTGATTGCAAAGACGGGCACACTCTCGGCCTCCGAGGTCCGACAGTTGGAGGTCGTCGACCAGCAAACGCGGAGCCAAGGCTCTGGGTTTTGCTTGGAGCTCCAGACCGATCAGAACTGCTTCGCAGGGGTGAGAGATTTGCTCCGCCTCGGATTCCGAATCTGGATCCCGGGGTCGGACCACCCCTTGATCCTGGATATGGCGGGGCACCTCAGTAGATCTTCTGCAGGAACAGCATCGGAGGCAGCCCACCAGAACTCTTCGAAACGACCGCACTGCGCGCCAAACCAGGACCAAGGCTCGCCAGCTGTCGAGGCGACCATAGGCTATCACTGAGTCAGCATCCACTGCTGCAAACTCTTTGCAGTGGTACTCTCCCGGTTGTGTGCAATCCTCGGCACGGCACAGATGAACTTGCTTTGCTCGCTCAATGGATTCACGCAGAACACGGGCGGTGACGCCCAGAATGCGCCCACGTTTCACCCACAGCCCATGGCGATCGATCCGGGTCCTGTGGGTCCAGTCAGGTTGTAGACGAACGGCACCTTGAGGAAAGCGAAGCACCAAATCGTGCGGTCGACGCCCCATGCCACGTCCTCGACCTGCCTCTGGTACTCCGTGTCAACCGGGGTTGAACTCCCTGGTCCCACCAGATGAACCGTGGCATACACAGCCGGGGCAGGCGTAACTGGCAAATGGCGAAGAGCCGGGTCTACAGCTGGAGCTGCTCGGGGGGATCGTCGCCCACACCAGCATCCACAACAGAACCACTTCTCGCAAGCTTTCAATGACCAAACCAAGGCCGTGAGTAGCCCAATCACCAAGGTGACAAGGGTGGTCCACCCGGCCACGGGCCAATAGCGTCCGAAGGAGATCACCCCTAACTTGTCCAAGAAGTAGAGAGCCCATCCTCCATCGGTACCAAGAGACCCTTGACGATCTGGGGTGGAGAACACCATCATGTTAGTCCATCCGAGGAGCACCCTGAAGTTCCACTCACCCCACCAGACCGAGGCAGTACTGGTAGAAGAGGCCCCCAGAAACGGATCGCCCGGAGGAGAAGGGGACGTCGAGACGTCCGGTTCGGGTAGCCCAGTCTGATTCCCCGGGGACGTGGTGCGCCATGGCAGCCAGCTGTCTATGAGTGTCGCGGCAACCAAACAGTTACCAGCAACGAC